TAGTAGGTCTGTGGACACAGCCATGAGCAGGGCTTGCCCAGGTCACCTGGACCTGAGATCCCCAGGCTGCCTGTCCCTCCCGTCCTCCAGGGCAGCTCTGCAGAGTGTGGGGCAGGGATGGATTTAGGGTTGGCAGACCCAGCTGTCCCCTTGCCTGTGCTGTGAGTTGATTACAGAGGGTCTGAGTGAAAGGACCGACAGAGGGTGACATCTGAGTGAGCAGGAAAAAGCCTGAGGGTCAAGCAGGGCTCTCAGCTGTGAGTTCGATGCCCTCAGAGCTGTGTCCCTTGGAGGAAGCCTCCTCCTCTGCCACTGAGGCCTCCAGAGCAGCAGAGCAGAGGCAGGGGGAGGGGAAGTCACGTTTTTGCTGGTAGATCCCTGAGGACGCTAAACATTTCTTGTGCATCATGACCGGTCTAGCTCCTCAGTCAAGGTCAGTGTGATGAAGACAGGGCAGTTAAGTAGCAGACCCAGGGGCCTAGGAAGGACGTGGAGGACACAGAGCGAAAGGTGTAAGTGGCGGCTCCCAGAGATGGGAAGGGAGTGGAGATTTCAGGCCAGGTTTTTGAAAGGTGAGGGTAACCTACTTGGGCTGGAGGGCTGGGCAAATTCCATAGCTTGCCAGGAAAGTTAGGGTCCTTTTGTTTATACTTCTCTCTTGGAGGTGGGGCTAATTAGGACCTTTGTCTTAGGAGGAGAGTAAGACGAGAGGGGCAGGGGAAGGGGAAGGGTTTGAGTATGGCTGTGGTAGCCCCCCAACATGGGGCTTCTTAAAGGGAGAAGAAGTGAGATTCTCTATTGTGGCTTAGACCTCAATAGAGAAGGAGGGGGAGACATGCCCTTTTCCCCCTGAAAGTTCTCTGAAATATCGACTAACAATTAAGGCCAATTAATAGGAGATGTTTATTACCAAATACCATGTGCATGGGGAGAATCACAAGAGTGATTACCTGATGGCTCAATGATGGTCAGATTCTTTTTAGAAGGGGGAAGGGAGGATGTGGGGCATGGGTGCAGAAAGTGGGTGCTGGGAGGATGACTAGGTGGGGGAAACAGATTGATTTGTACATTAAGCTGAGACAGGTGCCATGTGTGTTTTAAATGATTTGGGCCGGGTCTGCTTACAAAACAGGGGAGGAAAGAAAGGTGGGGTGGAATGAAGTCAGTTGCCCCCACTCTGATCTCTTGATCAGGTCCGTCCAGTTTCATTAGATGGAGGGAAATCCCCCCCTAATGGTTTCTGATCCTGAGTGGCTTTTAATTCAAAATATTCTCTATGCCTAGAAGTCATCTTTGGGGTGAAATTTTCTTAGTTCCTCAAACAGAGCTTCAGAAATTTCCATAAGCTCCCAAATCCCCTGAGAGGTGGCCAGAGACCCTGCATGTCTCCAGCTCCCAGGTCAGGCTGGTCCTGCTGGTCCCCCAGGTTTGTGTGGATGAGCCCCCTCCAGCCTCCTCACTCAGGCACGGGTGACACTCACCTAAGGAAGGACCCTGCAAGCACAGGTGACCTTGTCCCCTACACTCCTGCGTGATGAGGAGGGGAGATCAGTCCCCTCCTGAGCTTCTGACTTGCATCCTGTCCCAGGTTTCCTTGTCACCTCCCTGGAACGGGACATCTCTGAAGTTCAAGACTGAGGCCATGTGGCCTCCTCCTGTCCCTCCACATGGCACAGTGAGTGCTTGGGAGCATCAGCTCACTGAGGCCACTTGGGAGTCAAGGCTCAGTCCCTGCCTGCTGTCTGTGTCCTCACTCTTGGTCTGCTCAGCAAAGGTAGCTAATATATGATGGACAGCTGGCTCAGTGTCCACATGGGGACAATTCAGGGGTGTCACCTTGGGGTCCCTGCCTCTAGCAATGTTCATCTACTTCCTACTGGTGCAGGGCCGCTCTTTTCATCTTTTGAGACTTTTGCACTTTCCTTCCATCACAGAGTGAAGGACAGCTGAGGTGACCGATTATGAGTTACTGCAGGATGCAAATAATTTGAAGTTGGCCCAGCTGATGTGGGGTCAGGCTCAGTCTGCAACCAGCATTTTTGAGCCCAAAGGGAGGCAGGGTTTTTAGTTATTGAAGACACTTTGCCTCTGTCCCACAGATTACCTTGGCTCCCTGCCCCTCATCTCTCTTCTGGGAACCATC